CTTTTGTTTCATTAAACATAAATCAATTGGTTGAGAATTTCCTTTTAAATCAACAACAAACCAACTATTTGTAGTTGGGTCTTGAATTCTATCCATTTCAGCAATTTTAAATGTTGGTGTTAATTTTCTACAAGTATCAATAAATTGTTGAAGAGAAACAGGTAAAGGATAATTAGAGGCTAAATAATTTACTACGTCTTTATCAACTTTTGGTGGAAGAACAACAGATGGCATAACATCAGTTGTTATATTCATCAGATAACAATAAACCTCTTTTGAGTGTTCAGGATGTGTTTGAAGATAATGTTCTAATGGTTCATAATATTCTTTTATCCATTCAGTTGGAAGATTACGATAATGATCAGTTATCATCCAATGAACGCTTTTAGTGGCAGACAATAATTCATGATTTTCATCATAAGTATTTCCTACAAACAAATATTCATATTGACTAAGAAAATTATTAAGCTCATTACAATACTTTTCATAGGAAGTAAAAGTGGGAGGGAGAATTTCTTCTTGATCTCTTTCAACACGTGACATTCAAATGGTGTTTCTATGAAAATAATAAATTTTTTTTATTAAAAAAAATTATTAATTCAATTTAACTCAATACTAATATTATGGAATAACACCTAATCCAAAGAGAAAAATCTAATCTATCTTCATTTCTTCAGTAAATACAAAGTCAAAATAGATGAAATCCCTGAAATGTTATCATTACTTTTCAAAGATACGTTGGTGTATTATCTATTTAATGACATAATATTTAATCCTTCTTTTTCTTTATCTATAATATTTATGATAAAAAACAGGAAAAAATTATTTACACTAATAGAGATATTAAAATAAAGAAAATCCATACTTATTCTCTTCTAAAATAAAACGGAGTTTATTTTCTAACTCTAAGTCAAAAAAAACTTATATAATACAACCAAAGTGATTAAAACAATATAAACAAAGTCACTGAGAGTGTTGATAGAACAATTAATATTTCTTTCTATAAACTATCTAGCTTTAAAAATTGTAATAAATTCAAACCATTCATAAACATAAAAGAATTTATATAAAATAAACAACAATAACTAAAATGACCATTTATTTTGTCATTATAAATTACTGTAAAATGGTAATATTGAGAAAAACAGGAATGAAAATAAATTAATATAAATACTAAATAATAAGAAAGGAAATTTTTTTTACCACCTAATAGTAATATATTGTGACTATCTTCTTCTGAAAAATTAGTCTGTTCATTTAATAAAGAAAAAAAAACACTAAATAACCAAAGTTATAACACTTAAGAAGATTTTTATTGAACAGAAGGAATCATATGTATTATTTAATAATGGTATTGATTGTTTCAAGAGGAAGAAAAGAAAATAAATAAAATTTAAATATTAATTTATAATAAAACCATTAAATTTAATAGGAAAGTAATAAAACCTAATTTTAAGTTATAACAACTTAAAAAAGGAAATTAGTAAATAGATAAAATATGACTGATGTTGCTATATTCAATTTAAAACAAGACATTAATGAAGATGAATTAAAAACATTATTACAACCATATGGAAAAATTAATGAAGTAAAAAGGATATTAAAAATGAATAAACAAAGTATTGGAATTGTTGGGGCAACAAAAAAAAAAGAAATAAAAAAAATAATAGAAGCATTAGATGGTAAAGAAATTGAACCAAATAGAAAGATTAGCGCATTAAGACTCGGTTTTGTTCCATTATCCCCAATTGAAGAATCATTTAATAAAGCTTGTCAAGAATATATTTCTAAAGAACAAGAAATTAAATCAAAAGACAAAATAAGTGATGATTTCAAATCCAGATTAAGGGATGTATCAAACGATGAGTTTAGAAGTAGATTAAAAGATAAACCAAAAGACAAACTAAAAGATAAATCAAAAGATAAACTAAAAGATAAATCAAAAGATAAACCAAAAGAATTAGATGAAATTGTTACTCTTATTAATCAATTAAATGACTCGAATAACAAAGGTAATACTGATAAACTCAATGAATTAAATAAAAAACTAAAAGAATTTGAAGAAAAAACTGGAGGAATAAAGCAGCAGCATTCTTTTTATGACAAAAAGAATTTCAAGTATCAAAGCAAAAAAGATTTTAAATCCTATAAAAAACATCAACAAGAGGCAAAACCAAGACCACACCAAAATAAAAAATAATGAATCTTAAAGAAACGGATAAATCAAGCCGAATGAATTTTTATAATGATGATTGAATTATTTTGTCTAAGATATTGATTATTTTTTTATAATAAAAATAATATTTGTAAATTAAAAAAAAGATAATTTTTATGAAGAATAAAAATGAGATTAATTAAAGTCATATCCTTTAAGAACAAATTAATAACTAATGAAGAATTGAAACGAAAAGGCATTAGTTCTTTAAACTTCCTCATAGACCTAGATCTATCAAAAAATGGAAAAACAAACCAACGACCTTGGAAAAATAATCAACACATTAAATCAAAAAATTGAGGATTTAAGCTATTTGATTCAAATTCAATACATAGAATTTAGTAAAGAACTTCGTAAACGTGATGAAAAAATAAATAGTCTAGAAAAAGAAATACAGAGTATTAAACAACTGAAATGTATTGAAGAAGGAATAAAAGAAGACAATGACTACGCACCAATCATTGCTAATAAATTACATATTAATAAGATGGTTGTCAAAGAAAAAGAAACAAAATGGAAAGAAATTTTTGAAGAATTTGTATTGAAAGAGTATGTTTCAACTGTTCTTATTCCAAATAAAAATGGTGTTTTAATTTCATCTAAGAAATGGAATAAGGAAAAGAAACCAATTATGATAAATAATTTAAGTCATGTAGTACTTCTAATTACTAACCATCAATACTTTGAAATTTCAATTCAATCTGCTCCACCAAAGTTGATAAGCTTTGGAGTTGTTTCATCTTTAACTTATAAAGAAAAAGTTCCAATAGGACAAGAAAAAGAAAGTATTGGTTTTGATTCAAATGGTACTTTATTACTTGCTAATGGATGGAAAAAAAAGATAGCTCGTGCTTGGAAATCAAATGATGTTATTGGATGTGGTTATGATGCCCAAGAGAGTAAGGTTTATTTCACATTGAATGGCAAGAAGATAGTTCAAGTATCAACTGTATTTAGTGACTGGTATCCAGCAATTCAACCCTCTGGGTTTACTCAGTTCACGACAAATTTCGGAGAAACTCCTTTCGTTAAGAGTTTTTAATTTAATTAATCGTTTTATTTCGTCTTTTTATTAAATTTTTTGTTTTAAAACCACGAGTTTTTTTCTGATCTATAAATAAAAATAATAGCGAAAAAATTCCATTTTTTTTTTGAAAGAAAAATAAAAATAAATTCTGTGAAAACAAAAATAGATCACCATTACTTTTTTAGAGTCATTTCTTATGAATATGAGAAATCTTTATGAGCTTAAAACAACTAAAGACAAATGATTTTGTCGTATTAGAGAGTATTAAAATCATAGAGTTTATTTGTAAGATTTAAAGTAGTTATCCAAAAATTATATAAGCCAGATTATATTTCATCTAGAAATTACAATGAGCAGAACAGCTAGCTGTAAACAACAGAATTATAAAACAATTGAAGTTTTAAATGTAAATAAAGTTATTAGCATCCATAAGAAAGCTAAAGATGATTCAGAGAGTATTCAAAATTATATGAATCAACTTAAAAAACTTAGAAACAAGAGAAGAACTCAAAGCTGGTCTCCAATACAATCACCAAAAGAAACAGCCATTCAAGTTGGTGATCAACAATTTGAAGATCGTTATGATTTACTTAACTATTGTATGAACACAAGCACAGAACCAACCCCTATAAGTGCTACATTCTCAAATAAAAGCTCAATTAATGTATAATAGTATTTTTGATTAATATTTTTATTCATTGTTCTTTATTTATCTTAATTTTTCTCAAGAATGTTTATGATTTGAGTATTACGAAGACAAATGACGTTGTGCCAACTAAATTAGTTTTTTATTGAGTTTAAAGCATATGAATATCAGGATTATGAATTACTTTTTCTTATTATTAAAAGGATTGCTGTCATTATAACTACTATTATCATAGTCAAATACAGCTGAAGAATATCGAAAGGTTTTTGAATATTTTTGATAAAGATAATATTCTAAATATTCATAAAAAATTATATAAATAAAAAGTTTTTGTATTTAACAATTGGGTTATTAATACGAATAAAACATGTTGTAGTATATAACACATCAACTCTCTAATAAAAGGAATGAGTGGTAGTAAATATTTATTTATAACTTAATGAGAACAAATAATCGTAAAGGAGGTTAACATTTAATTAAATTAGAACCTTTTCTTCCTTCATTATTTCCATAATTTGGATTGATTTTCAATAAAACAATTCAGTGGAGTTTCTCTTAACTTCATGTTTATTTCAATACTCTAAATATAGATTGATGTTGTGTTTAAAAAATAACAAAAAAATAACATAATATAAATTTGTTTTTAATAACAATGTTTATTTAAAAAAAGTTATTTAATTAATACTAAAATGAATAGTTAAAATAATAAAAAAGAATGACTTAGTTGAGGCGAACTGAAATTTTTATAAAACATGTTTGCACTTATCTTCTTCATCCAACTTTCAATAGGATTTATTATGGAGGTTCCAACAAATGGATTTCGGTGCATTTCAGATGAAGGATTTGATAAAGAAAGGGCAGCAGGAACATACAGATTAGCTGAAGGACAATCATTAGATAAAAGACAAGTTGTATTTAAAATTTTTAGAGGAGAAAAAGACAGAACCGAGATTTTCAGTGCTGATTTTGATGACACAAAAAAACCAAGAGAGTTTGGTGCATTGTACAACGAAGATCTTGACAAGTTATATTTCTGTGTTATTGATTCTGCAAATTCTCGTGGAATTGATCCTGTAAGAGTTGAAATAAACTTTGAAACAGGTAAAGTTGAAAATAATTTTGTTGGTAAAGATAAGATAGATACTGTATCAGATAAAGTAGATGATGCTTTAAAAAATTCTGAAGCTATTAAAGAGTATGTAGATAAATGTAAAAAATTATATGACACTCGTCGTGGTTTAAATGGTTTGTTCTTCTTTTCATTTTAAAAAAGTTCCTCTTTGCTCATGTCTTTAGAGGCAACAAATTCTATGACATTGTGGATGATGATTCTTGTTATTTGTGCTGTTATTGGAAGTACTCTTTATCAACTTCGTTCAATGAAACAATTCTTTTTGAGAAGAAAATTAGTTTAAATCAAGTTTTTTATTTTTTTTTAGTTTTATGTTTTTTATATTGTTGTTATGAACAAATAATTAGTGAGCAACAAAAAACCATTTTGATAAAACACCAGAAGAAGTAAAGAAAACTATCTTAGAAAAGAAACAATCTTTCATTGAAGAAACCAAATTAATCCATAAAGCAGAGAATGAGTGTTTGGAAGTGCTACATTAACTAATTTGATTTGACTGTTAAAACCATTTTATTATTTTAAATATTTTAAATTTATTCAATAAGTTTTTTTGTTTCAGTGATATTGTTTATATGTTGTACTACTACATTGAGTCTTACAATTTGTTTATGAAACAAATAAATTATTTATAAGACTTTTTATTATCAACTCAGTTAAAAACTCTTTTTTATTTTAACACAAAGTTTCAAAGAGTCTCATAACCATTACCACAAAACAAAATGAAAAGAAAATGGTAATAATAATAAAATTTGATCAGGGAAATGTCTCAAGTGTTTATTTAAAAAATAATATTGTTATATAATATTGTTTCTAATTCATATTTCTGTCTTATTTTATAATTTAAATTTATTTGTAATTTTCATGATTGTATTATTCTTATTGATGTTAATAATTCTATTGGTAATGTTGTGTTATACTTATTTCTTTATTAATAAATATCAATGTCAATGAGTCATTTATTTACTTCATATTTTAATAGTCACATTCAATACAAAGTGAATAGTATTAATGATTAACCATTACTATAATTATTGTTATATAATTATATTACAAAATAAATGATATTGAAATAAATTAAATTAATTTTGTATTTTCATACTGAGAAATTGAAGTGTTAAAGAGTGAACAGAATGAAACGAATCTTGAAAAAAAATGATTAAGAGAAGTTCAATGATGATTTGTTGA